TCTTTCAAGATATTTTTGAACAACAATGTTAAAGCCCCTCTAATGCTGCTGTGAATTGTTAACAAGCATGTTTGCACATCACATCTATCATGCTATTTGCACGATGTTATGTGAAGACACAGCTTGAAGTATTTTTAAGATATGGCCTTTTATCTCTGGAAGCACTAGAAAGTATTTGCAGATTGGTCTCCGGAATGAAATTAGCCTAGCACGTTGGCTGGTTCCTGTAAAGTGTGGGCATTTCTGTAAGTGGTTCTGAGTCCCTTAATCCTTTTGATCATTTGCACTGTGTATTTTTACACAGGTTCTTTTACTTTAGAGAAATAAAGTAAAGAAACTTAAAGGTGAGTTTGGCAGGGGCATCACTGTGCTGTTTGTCAAGGCAAATGAATGTTGAATTTGAATGGTAGTAGTTTCTTTTAAACAACCAAGCTTCTTTAAACCTTTCCACAAATAATGTCAGTGGCAGATTATATCTGAAAGTGTTTGCTGGCGAGTGGAAATCTTTTCTGACCCTATATTGCTGTCATGAAAGAAGAGCCTAATCCCATAAAATATTCTTGAGAGCCTCAGTGTCAATTACAGCACAGCTGTGATTTCTCATCTGGGCCACAGCCTGTGTGACACTTGTCATCACTTCATGGCTTCAGGGTTCTCCATTCAGAAGCTCAGGTTATAGTAGGAGGTTGAGCTTCACCTCCAGTGGAAACCTGGTTGGCTTATGACTGAACCCTCCTACTTCCTTACTGTTCAGTGTTGTGTGAAAAAACTTGTAGGGAAACCTCGATCTCCTCATCTGTTTAATGAGGACCATATCTCTCTTGCAAAATCATTGTAAGCAATGTTTGTATGCCCGTGTTCACAGCTGCATTATTTACAGTGGCAAAAAGGTAGAGGTAACCCAAGTGTTCATTGATGGATAAATGGATAAACAAACAAAATACACACCATGGAATATTATTCAGCCCTAAAGAGGAGGAAAATTCAGACACATGCTACAGATAGGTAAAGCTTGAGGACATTATGCCAAGTTAAATAAGGCAGTCACAAAAAGACAAATACTGTATATTGCCACTTATAGGAGGTCCCTAGATAAGTCAACTCCATAGAGACAAGAAGGTAGAAAGGGGTGGCCAGGGTCCAGGGGGATGGGGGATGGTTAGTTTAATGGTACAGAATATCAGTTTTGCAAGATGAAAAGAGTTCTGGAGATGGATGGTAGTGATGATTGCACAAGATTGTGAATGTACTTCATACTATTGAACTGTACACCTAAAAATTATGGTAAATTTTATGCTATGTGTATTTTATCAAAATAGGGAAAGAATTATGGGCACTAAATGGTATCAGGTAGATAAGTGGCTACCATATTATTGTTGTTCACCAAATAGTAACAGCTTTCACTATGTGTAAGATAGTAAAGCATGTGGTATTTTAATGGTTCTGTGGAACTTCATCTTATGAGTATAGCATATTTGTTTCCCTTTGTTTGGCTTGTGTATTTCTTACGGTATTCTACTGTTGTAATAATGATAGAGTGAATTTTCTGTGCATGTATGTATCTGTTCTATTATTTGAGGTTACACCTTTGAGCTGGATTTCCTGGATCACTTAATCAAAGTGAATGAGCATCTTTGTGGCTCTTGCTATATATGCCCGTGGGCTTTCAAATCAAATGTAGTGATTTACCCTGTCTGTAGCCAAGTAGGGGCACCATTTCATCGTATCCTCAACAGCTCTAAGATGCTTCTAAGCCGTTTCATTAAATGTAACAAATAAGAGATAACATGTTAATGTTTTAATACGCATTTATTTACTTTTATTTTGATCACTAAAAATGTTGGCATTTTCCATGTCTCAGTTCACATGTATTTCTTCCTATGTGAATAGCCTGTTTACATCTTTTGCTTATATTTTAGTGTGGTTTCAACATTTTTCATGCCAAATATATCTGTCATGTTGATAACATATTACCATTTTTAATTTTCAGAGAGTTTTAATGCTTATGTAGTTCAATCACTTCTTTAAACATTTCATATTACAAAATAATAATATGTTAAACTAGAGCAAAAGTGGTTTGACAATCATATGATTATTATACTTATTGCATCTTCTTCCCAAATTCTCCACTATCATTTTAAAAATATCTTTTAGCATAAAGTTTGTTTAGATGCTATTGAATGACTATAGTATTTGAATTAAAATTATATGGACTAGCCAATTAATAAAATATTAGTATAATAATTAATAACCAGCATAAAAAGGACATGATGATGCCAATTAGAGCAAAGAGGAAATTAAAATTGCCAATAACCATGAAATGTATTTTTCCCTCACTAATAATTAAATTCATCCTAAATAAAACAATAGAATACTGTCTTCCAGCTATGAATTGCTAAGGATTAAAAACATTGTAATGGTGACTGAGACTGGCCCTCAAAAATGCTGCCAATGGGAAGATAAAACTGGGTCAACCTCACTGAAAAGCAGTTTGGAACCAGACACCAAGAAATTTAAAAATGTTTAGAAACATCGATTTAGAAATTCCACTTATATAACTAAGGCTTGAGGCAGCCTCAGAAGCATGGAAAAATATTGACATTTATGGATAAAAATATATTTCAGTCTAATTGCCCGATGACAAGGAATGATTGAATAAGTAGCTGGACAATCATCTGATGGAGAGTTATGTATTCATTTTAAATGGTGTTTTCTAAAAGTTTTCGGGACATGGGGAAATGTTCCCGATATATTGGTAAGAGAGGAAAGAAAGCATGCTATAATGAATGCAGTGTATTTTTAGTAGACATGAGGTTTCAGTATTTTGGCCAGGCTGGTCTTGAACTCCTGACCACAGACGATCCACCTGCCTCAACCTCCCAAAGTGCTGGGATTACAAGTGTGAGCCACTGTGCCTGGCCTGTATTTTCTTTTTTATACTTCCTCACATTTTCTAAGCTTCAGTATCATCTGTAAATATTGCTTCTACAATCAGAAGGAAATTTAAATGCTAACAAAAAGATCAAATTAAAGATAATGAATAGATTTCTTTTCTGGATTCATGTTCCAAATGTTCACCTTGTGCTCTTTCCTCTGATGTATTAGATAGATCCCTGGACCAGAAGTCAAAAGGTATGATTTCTTTTTCCAGGTTAGGGCCCAGAAATTCACTAGCTGTGTGACCTTGGGCATATCCAACTTATTTGTTGCATAGTTTTTCAGTTTGCAAAATGGGGGTTTCTACTTTTCCTACCTGCACCATTGGACAGTTGTGAGAATTAGTGAGATAACCAGTATATTGACAGACAATTTTGTAGATTCAAAACCACCCTCATGTTTGATCATTTGCTAGGAGGACTCGCAGCGCCCACTGAATGCTGTTAGACGCATGGTTACAGTATCTTGTAGGGAAAGGATGCAGCTCACAGTTAGCTAAAGAGAGGCATCAGGTGGAGGCTGGAACGGCTCCAAATGCTTCTGTTCTCTTCTCTGGCGCAGTCAGGATGTGCTGACTTCTTGGTGTTTATGTGTAACAATACACAAAATACTGCCAACCAGAGACGCTTGCCTGAGCTTCAGTGTCCAGAGTTTTCATTGTGACTCCATTGTGTAGGCATGATTGATTGATTGGTTGCCTACGTGGTTGAACTCGGTGTTCAGGTGTTCTGACACTACATGATCCAAAGCCTTTGTCTTAAGTCATATGGTTGGTCTTTGTAGCTCTCGCCCTAAGACAATTGGATATAGCTGGTTCCATCCTGAGACCCAGTGTGCCCAGCACTAAGTATGACAAAGATTATATTCCAGAAACTGAGGACTAAAGGCCAGACCTCTCTTTGGGCAAGGCCAAATTCTTTTTTGTTGTTGTTGTTGAGATGGAGTTTCACTCTTGCTGCCCAGGCTGGAGTGCAATGGTACAATCTCGGCTCACTACAACTTTCGACTCTCGGGTTCAAGTGATTCTCCTGCTTCAGCCTCCCAAGTAGCTGGGATTATAGGCGTCTGCCACCATGCCTGGCTAACTTTTTGTTTAGTAGAGACAGGGTTTCACCAGGTTGGCCAGGCTGGTCTCGAACTCCCGACCTCAGGTGATCCACCCACCTTGGCCTCTCAAAGTGCTGGAATTACAGGCATGAGCCGCCGCACCCGGCTGGCCAAGTTCTTTACTACACATACGGTGACTGAAAACAGAAACCAAATTTATATAGCCAAGTGATCTTAGTATGGAGGGATCTCTTATTTGCCATGTTCTAAGACTGTAAAATAAGAAAGGACACGGATTCCGTAGGAACGAGCAATACTGCAAATACCCACCCGTGATCCACCAAACCCTCAGGACCACCATTGAGAACAGGCCTACTTACAGAGGATCCTGCACGGAGACATATGCCAATTATTGTTTACTACGGAGACGAATTAGGCTGAGAAAACACTTACCACCCTACTGGGTATTTAAATCTGACCCTTGTCCCCCTGTTAACAGCACTGCAAGTATGTCCCTTCGTTAACTCACTGATCTCATGTGAATGAGTGATCAGCCTGTTTTTCCAGGTTTCTCTCCCTGGCACCATCTCACTGTGGTGCAGCCGAGCTCACTACATATAGCACGGAGTGATGATAAAAATAAACTGGCTCTTTCCCTTTGCAGGGTTTCAAATCTTGGGTGCTATGTCAGGGTGGATCCATGAGATTTCCTAAGAGTGAGCATAGAAGCCTGAAAACCCACATTTGCTTTTTCATGAACTTACGACAGTTTATTAGAGCACAGTGTCAAAATCATCATCGCAGCAAGCTCACTAGAGGACAACCGTATGCTTTTTGGAAAAAGAACCAATGACAGAGCCTTGAGAGAGACTGGTAGCTAAAGTCTAATCATGCTTCCATTCTTCATTGAGAGGGAAGAGTTTCAGCTTTTGTCTGTTGGTTTTTTTGTGAACAAATAACTTGCAATAAATTGATGTTGTCAGTAAATTTCGGTTGTACATTCTGTTTCTTCCAAGAAAAAACTGGCCATGCAGAAGTCGTCCGAGTTGTGTACCAGCCAGAACACATCAGTTTTGAGGAACTGCTCAAGGTCTTCTGGGAGAATCACGACCCGACCCAAGGTAGAGTGATGAGTGAGCCAGTATTTAATTATCTTACTAATTACAGCTGGGATAATTAGTGTTTGAGCTGCATGGAAGAGATGAACCTTGAAATCACACAGGAGCTCAAGAATATGATTGCAGACATTTATTGATGGAGGAGAGGAGGGGCTGGGGAGAAAAAGGGTGAGAGAATAAAGGCACAGCCACATTCGGCGCCCCTGCCCCCCTTACAGCTGTCAGGGGTGGGAAAATTCCCACAGAGGAAGACGCTAGACAATAGCAATCCGTTCACCTTTGATTATTGCATTATTCCTCCTTAATGCAGTCTTTTGTCTACAAAATTAAAGTGTCTTTCCAGCAGCTCCAAAGTTTTCCTGATTTATGGTTTCTTTATTTCTCTAAGTTTAGCCTTTCTCGTCTTTTGACGTTATCAGGTTTGATTTTTTTTTTTAAATGCCTATGGCTGATAAAGAAGAACATAAAGGTAAATGCAGTATTCAGTAGGTCCACAGAGCGCTCATTTAAATATTCCATTTGTTCTCTTTGGAATTTGTTATGTGGAGATATTAATATATTTGGGCTATAAACAATGGTGGCTGGAAATTTTGTTTGAATGCACACACAAGCAAAATATTCCATGTTGGCAAATATCATTGTAATATTCAATAATAAAGCAATTTCCAGATCATCCTAACAGCCGTACAGGCCCTGCTTTGCCAGTGTGGTGATCTGATATTATGCAGCTTATGAACTAAAAAGTCCTATGTAATAGTTGTGATTTTTCATAAACCCTGTTCATTTGGCAATCAGTCTATTTCACAAAAGCATTTTCCCTTAGGTGTTAGATTTTTGTGTAGTGGATATGGGTGTTGGTTATTGTTTATGAGTGAAGTTTTTCTCCAAATACATATTGTGCTTCTTGATGGAATCTTAGCATGCCCGCAGCAGCACAGAGGTTGGTGGGTCCTGAGTGCTGGTTCTAAGAACCATCCCATTCCAGGGTGATCTGCCAGAGGGCAAAGGTCAGAGGTGAGGCAAGAGCAGCAAAGTGACAAACTCGAGCAGGGTGAGGCAGGTCCGGGATCCAGGCAGATCTATTGGGGAAGTTGGGGACCTAGAGGTTTGGGCCTAGGAAGGAGGCCAGGGACAGGATTTCCGTGACAGCAAAGTCTGGTTTGATGTGGGAGAATGGGTACCTGGTGGACGAGGGATGAGGTATGAGGCAGGGTAGGGAAAGAGCAGTCTAATCAGAAGGTTCACGTGTCACCCTAGCTAGGGATATGGGACATCACATCATGTGGGAAGGCAGGTCTGCAGGCCTAGACAGCTTTGTTTCTGCAGGAAGCTCTGCTGGTGAGGATCACAAATCAGGGTTGGTGACAGCCAGTTGCTCATTCTGGTAAGTCATCAATCCAGATGGGACAGACATTCAGCCATTTGACTGTCAAAGCCAAGGGTCAGAAGAAGATGCCAAGAGCTCCAAAATCATCAGTGAAGACACATATCAGAAGCCCAGGCAAGGCCTGAAGTCATGTAGGTGGCCAACATGACTTTAACGTGGCCAACTGTAACGCCATGTCCTGGTGGAATCTCTTTAGGCTTAGGCTTGGCAGAATTATAACGAAGGCCAAGTCTGTCTTCAGCTTCTCTCTCCATACCTTTCTGAAATGCTCTCATTTTATCACCTCTCCATTGATTAATTAGCTTGCTAATACCGGCCCCGGAACCTCAGCGGGAATACTGCTGTGATGAGGGTTTGGGCTGGGAGAAGTCCCCTCTCCATTCATCAGCTGGCCTTCCATGGGCTCTATCTTTGTAATGGTGGTGTCTCTGGAGTTAAAAAAGATTTTCCAGGTCTTCCCGTCGTAGGTGGCAACATAAAGACCAAAGCAAGGCAAGGGTGCGCCTAAGGTTGTAGTGCGATCCTGTATCCCCCACTGCATTTGGAGAACCACTCATCAACCACTGCAGGGCAACCTCGACTGCCTCAGGACCCCTCCAATCTCCGGCCCCCACCCTTCTGCCTCTCTTATGGACCATCTCCATCTGCAGGTCAGTGGCCTCCCCAGAGATGAGGCAGAGGTAAGGAAGGTGATGTTCGTTAGTTAAGGGAAGGGGGAGAGATCCTCCATCAGGAACCTCTACTCCCCTGGCTTTGTTTTTCTTAAGCTAGTTTGTTAGTTTCTATTACAGGCAGCAGTCATAACAGTCCTTACTAATCCACCCATTCGGTCCAAACAGTCTTATGTTCATTTTATTTGCCAGGTGCCCTTTTATTTTTGGTTTTTGTTTTTTATTTTTTTATTTTTCCTTTTTTCTTTTTCACTTAAGCTAGAGTGCAGTGGTGCAATCTTGGCTCACTGCAACCTCCACCTCCCAGGTTCAAGCAATGCCTCAGCCTCCCAAATTGCTGGGATTACAGGTGCACATCACCATGTCTGGGTAATTTTTCATATTTTTATTAGAGTCGGTGTTTTACCATGCTGGCCAGGCTGGTCTTGAACTCCTGACCCCAAGTGATCCATCCACCTTGGCTTCCCAAAGTGCTAGGATTACAGGTGTGAGCCACGGCACCCAGTCACCAGGTGTGCTAAATCACTAAGGCATCTGGGATATGCACAGGTATCCAGCCTCTTGGTTAATGCATGTGGAAAATACATTCCTACTGGAAGGCAATAGTTAATTCCAATATGCTGAGATCAAATGAGCATACAGATAAACGCACACAAAACCACAGACTAAAATTTTAACATGAAATCATTAAAACAAGTACATGTTAGCACTGTAACATTAAAAGCAAAAAATAAACAATAACCAACGCATATGTTCAGGATATCTCTGGTATCAATGGAGTTGATATCCCTGGGGAACCCCGAAGGTCTAAAACAATGACACATGTCAAGTGTCATTTGTCCAAGGTCAGAATTTGAAGCCTGCTCCTTGAAGGATGGGCCTGAGGCAGGGGACAGCCAGGCTTCAAATGAACTTGGCTGTCACTCACTCACTCACTCACTCACATCCGACCACAGCTGCTTAAGTCTCTACTTGAGGTCACGTGGCAACTTGTCATGTTTCACAGTAAAAGTTGGTCTTCAAAAGAAAGCCACCACTAGAGAAGACGAGGGTGGTGAAGACTGACTGTTCCTACTATGAAAATGGACATTTTTAAAGAGAGTAGCAGTTTGGATTTGGTGGTGACTCTAATCTGTGAGGCAGTAACCCGTTCCAGGTTCTTTTCAGAAACAAAAGTAAGTGATTACTAACACTACTTGAGCAATGCTCTTGTCTGTGCCGGAACTGCTCATCAACAAAAAGCCAAAACTTGAGTAGAAGTTGCAAAGGCATTGACCTTTGCTGTGAAGATGTGCCCGGAAACATGATTCTCCACAGCAATACGACTCAAGAGGAATGAATTTTAATTAGCATGTTGAAAGATTGTTTTACCTTTTTGTAAAGTCATTAAGTACTTGAAGGGGCCACTTAAATTTTTTAGTTATAACTTAAAGGATTTTGTAGGAGAACCAGTAATATTTGCAAACATGGAGATTCTTGCTGATGTCAATGATCTTACTACAGTAGAAACAGCAAGAATTTAAGCTTCAAGTCCCCTTTCAGTGAAATCAGATCTTCCTGGCATAGGCTAAACAGAGAACATTCAGCATGTTCTTTCCTGCTTCAAGGTACTGAAGCAGCTCTCACAGTATCTCCTCTAATGGACTAGAAGAAGTCCCCATACATAGTCTGTCATTTTGAAGGGAGCGAAGCTGGTTAGTGAGAGATTGGAAGGTGCAGGCTTTTTAAGGTGAGGCCTGAGATCTGTTATTCCACAGCCATTATTCAGTGAGTCTGATGATGATGCCACTCCATGGATGAGCCTAAGGAGGAGTGACAGACGTGCTAGCAGCATTACTCACGTGGCCGGTAACTTAATTTACCAGTTACCCCAGAACCCCTACTTTCACTGAAACATTTGAATCCCGCTGTTTCAGCCAATAGGTTCTATGCTGGCTTTCTTTCTTCCTTTACGGTTCTGAGGATAGACTGGCACGTGCACATTCCTAGCCATGGGATACCCAGACTCCCATCTCCAGGTGACATGGTGGGAGCCTGAGATTTAGGAGATCTGGGTTCTGGTCCCTGACCTGGCCCCTTCCCAACCACATGAACTTGGCCAAGGAGATGTGTTTCCTGGGCACATCTTCACATCAAAGGTCAATACCTTTTCAATTTCTACCCTGAGAAGTGTCTTACCCAGCCTGAGCCTTCATTTTTCTCATTTATGAAGAAAGGGATAGAAGTGAATGAATGCCCTATACTGCTGACTTGATGGGCTGATATAAGAATTAAATAAAACTATGAAAATGGTAAGGTGCCATGCCAGCGCCAGGTATTGTTGTTACGTCTTTCTCGATACAACAATACAATTCCATCAGATTTTAATTTTACATTATTCTTGCATCCGTGTTACCCTGGATTCTTTCTCTGGGGAAGTATTTACCCTCCACGTACTAAAGTGTGGGTTTTCTACCCACAGAGATTTTTGTGTCTCTTGTGTTGGTTGGAAAGAGTTGAGCATTGTTTATGTTGTCTTCTGGGACCTGCTGGCGCTGACAGTTTGGTGAGGCTGGTGGATCCTTGCTTAAAAGCCTCCTTAAGGTTGCTACTGACACAGTAATCAAAAGAACGGGCTCAGGTCCCGGCATTTCATGCCTGGTCTGTATTCTCCTAACTAGTATGGCCTATGCATGAAAAACAAAATTCAGACCTCCTAGTCCTGCAGAGGATACAGGGCACAAACTGAAACCGGGTGCCTCAGGCCGAGCTATGGTATACAAGGCAGGGAGTCTGCAGTTTTGTGCAACCTCACCCACTAAGTCTGACTTCTCAACTGCAACCCATCTTGCTCTCCTCAGTCCTGGAGCAAGGGAGAGCATTTCCTAAGCACCTCTTAGGGACCAGTCTTAAAATCCTAATTTCATTTAATCCTGACCACAACCCTCTGAAGTAGGGATCACTGT